TGAAGCGTAGATGCGAGATTCGATTTGCAGCCGATCCTGAACGACATTGTCGCTGCCACATTCAGGGAATGTCCCAGGAAAATTACAGTTGTTGCGGTTAATAAAGCTCTAGGAGCTTTGTAGCCGCAACAACTTTAATCACCACTGATTCATCAACGCGGTTTGCAGCCAATGAAGCGCAGATGCGAGATTCACTTTGCAGCCGATCCTGAACGACACTGTGGCTGCCACATTCAGGAATGTCCCAGGAAAATTACAGTTGTTGCGGTTAAAAAGCTCTTGGAGCTTTGTAGCCGCAACAACTTTAATCACCACTGATTCATCTACGCGGTTTGCAGCCAATGAAGCGTAGATGCGAGATTCACTTTGCAGCCGATCCTGAACGACATTGTCGCTGCCACATTCAGGGAATGTCCCAGGAAAATTACAGTTGTTGCGGTTAAAAAGCTCTAGGAGCTTTGTAGCCGCAACAACTTTAATCACCACTGATTCATCAACGCGGTTTGCAGCCAATGAAGCGCAGATGCTCTATTCACTTTGCAGCCGAGCCTGAACGACACTGTGGCTGCCACATTCAGGAATGTCCCAGAAAAATTACAGTTGTTGCGGTTAAAAAGCTCTAGGAGCTTTGTAGCCGCAACAACTTTAATCACCACTGATTCATCAACGCGGTTTGCAGCCAATGAAGCGCAGATGCGAGATTCACTTTGCAGCCGATCCTGAACGACACTGTGGCTGCCACATTCAGGAATGTCCCAGGAAAAGTAAAGTTGTTGCGGTTAAAAAGCTCTAGGAGCTTTGTAGCCGCAACAACTTTAATCACCACTGATTTATCAGCCCCGGGTCGTAGCAAAGGATCCGGCAGCAGCATAGCTGCGAGATTTATTTTGCAGCCGACCCTGAACGGTACTGTCGCTGCCACGATGAAGACTGCCCCAAGCAGATGCAAGTTGTTCCGGCAAAGGAGATGCAGGAGCGCGAGGCAGTCTGGACTGATTCGCAGCGCGCTTCTGGCAACGTCGTTCGAGCCTTTCCCAAGGCCGTCTTCTTCACGAGCATAAACCCTAAACCTTTATAAACCCTAGACCCTAAACCGGGACGATCGTCAGCAGCAACCTTCCAGGAGGTTCAGCTGCAGCTTTGATCATTGGCGGCATTCCGTCTTACTCCAGGGGGAGTGAGCCAGAGCGCCCAGCGTCAGTGTGCCGACTCCACTTCCGGAAAACAGACCGAGATCGAGACGAGGACGGTTGCAGGGCATGGCACCATTCCCAGCTCTATAGACTCCATAGTCGGGATGTCGATGTACGGTTTAGGGTTTATAGGGTTTAGAATTTAGGGTTTAGGGTTTAGGTTGGAGGGATCCGTATTTCGGGATACATGTCTTCACTGTTGGGAAGTGAAGCTTGAGCACGAATGGGAGTCAGTGGCGCGTTTCTCAAACATAGTGAGTCTTGCCGGCTTCAATCTGGATGAAACCAAGTTTGCGTTCAGGACGCTTGGTGCAAGTATTCTCCCAAAAAGTTCAGCTCAAGCGAGGCTATGTTCAGGTATGTTGTCAGACCAACCCATTTTTACAAGGTTCACCTCTACAGTAAGTATTTAGGCCCTTGTTACTAAACCCTTATAGTACCCTTATAGACTTATAGTACCCCTTAAAGGAACCTTTCCAAGGACTGGCCCAGCCTTGCGAAAGCGAGCCTCCCGAATTCAGGCGGTAGCCCAGCACTGCTGGGGCGAACCTGGCAAGCGGCAACGGACCGAACCTTCCGGCTTCCGAAAGTTTAGGACCTGGAAAAGGGGTTTAGGGTTTAGGATGTAAACCCTAAACCCTAAACCCCTTTTCTAAGAGCTTATTCTGGTGCGGCTTTTAGGGCTCAAAGTATGGGGCTCTGAAACCTGCAAACAAAAAACGAGATGCAAGGGGCTCGAGCTCAGAGCAAAAGCTCTCTGAAATATCGCTCAGGGCTTGGGGGCTTTGGAGTTCATTGTTGATGCCGTTGTGGCTGATTCAAAGCTATTGCAATACCCTAAAATCCAACTGGGTCAATGTAGGGTCCGAAGATGACACTGCCACCTCTACCACGGCGACGACACGACGACTTCGACGGCGATTATGAAAACGACTGCTACTTCTATGACGACGACGACGACGACGACGACGACGACGACGACGACTACCACGACGACGACGACGACAACTACTACTGCGGCGGCGCTTTGGTGTTAGCGGCGGCTGTGCTGCCACCATCCACACCACCACGACGACGCAGACGACGAAGCTACAACAAGAAGCAGCAGTAACACGGACACTGATCGTCATACTAACCTGAGTCATACATGGGAGTTTCAGAAAAGTACAAATTCAAACCCGTGGCTCTGAGGACTACTGGGACCCTTAACGAAGTTTCTTTTACACCTACTTGTACCCCTCCCTATTTGTTTGAAAAACTCCAACATGTTGCCTGGAGCAGTGGCGGCTGAACAGGGACAGTGTGTTACTTCCGGCCTGGCTGAGCATCAAAATTGAAGGCTACAAATTGCAGGGTCTTGTGTGGAGCTAGAGCTTCGATGTTGGGGCAGGGGTTGGCATACAAGCATGCGAAGGCGTTTCGGCATAACATACAAGCATTGAAGGGTGATGACCGCTAGGAATAGGATGAGTAACCTCAGCAGAACTGTGCTGTGCTTGTCCTTCGGAGATGTGGTCTGTTAACTCAGGCCTTGACAGTGCCAGGGCAGGGCAGAGGGGGGCGGGGGGTGGCGGACCAAGAAGCAAACAAACAAAGCATTGAGGACGACATAAACCGAATTAATGTCAGCACGACTCAAGTATGCAGAAACCGCAGGGAGATGGCTTGATGCTGCAGATTTTTGCCGCGGTGATTTTGTCTGTACATAGCAGGTGCAGCCGACGGGACAAACACCCCTGTAGCAAAGCTGAACCGGACCTTAACCTGAAGCACCTTCGTACGCCTGTCAGTGAGGTCCTGCGGACTAGACTGTGCATTTTGTCCCGTGGGCCGGACTGTACAATGTCCGCGGTCGGACAGACCCGGCACAGGATCGCGTAAGTCTCCCGGTTTGTCACAGAAGTCTTTTCTGCTACAGGAGCTCAGGAGGGCTCAGGTGCGTGCTTGGGCGAAGTGATGCTAGTTGCGGTGCGATTTTATCCTGATTATAGGTTTATGAGCAGTTCTTGAAGGTACCGTAGATACCTAACTCCCTGCAAACATGTCCGCTGCCACTACACGAAACAAAGTTGTAACATTTACCATGCTGCGCATGAAGACAAAGGACGACGACGATTACCAGAACTCATATCAGGTGCAGAATGCTACTGCTACTGTTACTGCTATTACCTGCTGCTGCTGCTGCTGCTGCTGCTGCTGCTGCTGCTGCTGCTGCTGCTGCTGCTGCTGCTGCTGCTGCTGGCGGTGGCGGTAGTGTCGTGATCGTTCTGTTGCTGTTGCTGTTGCTGTTGTTGTTGCTGTTGCTGTTGCTGTTGCTGTTGCGGTTGCTGTTGCTGTTGATGTTGCTGTTGCCGTTGCCGTTGCCGTTGCTGTTGCTGTTGCTGTTGGTGTTGGTGTTGGTGTTGGCGTTGGCGTTGGTGTTGTTGTTGGTGTTGTTGTTGGTGTTGCTGCTGCTGATGCTGCTGCTGCTCCTCCTGCTGCTGCTGCTGCTGCTGCTGCAGCTGCTGCTGGCGGTGGCGGTAGTGTCGTGAGCGGTTTGTTGTTGTTGTTGTTGTTGCTGCTGCTGCTGTTGCTGTTGTTGTTGTTGTTGCTGCTGCTGTTGCAGTTGCTGTTGCTGTTGCAGTTGCTGTTGCTGTGGATGGTGCAGTTGCTGGTGCTGTTGCTGGTGCTGTTGCTTCTGCTAGTCTGTTGCTGCTGCTGTTGCTGTTGCTGTTGCTCTTATTCTTCTTTTTCTTCTCGTTGATGTTGGAAAAGGTGGTGCTGGTTGTGGTTGCGATTGCAGTTGCGGTTGCGGTTGCGGTTGTGGTGGTGATGCTGCTGCTGGTTGTGGTTGTGGCGATGGTGGTGGTTGTGGTTGCAGTTACGGTTGTGGTTTTGGTTGTGATTATGGTTTTGGTTGTGGTTGTGGTTGTGATTGTGATAGCGGTTGAGGTTGCGGTTGTGGCTGTGGTTGTTATTGTTGCTGCTGCTGGTGCTGCTGCTGCTCTGAGAGTTGTTGTTGCTGCAACTGTTGTGGCTGTCGGTTTTGGTGTGGTGTTGCTGTTGCTGCTGCTGCTGCTGCTGCTGCTGCTGTTGCTGCTGCTGCTGCTGTTGCTGCTGCTGTTGCTGATGCTGTTTCGGTTGCTGCTGTTGCTGCTGTCGCTGCCGCTGTCCCTATCCCAGTTGCACGCTTAGTTGCAGTTGAAGTTGTTGCTATATGTGCTGTTACTGGTGGTGGTGCCAGTGCCGTCGCTGTTGGTTGATATTCGTAAACTTAATCTTCTTGTGGCCGTCGCTGGTTCTGCAGCGGCTGCTGGCGCTGTCTTGGAAAACATGGTATGGTGCGTAGTAGTATATTGCGGTGATCCGCCATTTTTCGCTTAAGTGCTGTGGCATACTTTCTTTCGCGGAACTTGTGCGATTCGGATGTGTTAATGAGCATAGCCAATCTCAGCTTATCCGGGTGTGTTGTAGCCCTTTACCAGCCTAGAAATGCTGTACCCTAAACCCTAAACCCTAGTAGTTTTTTCTGGAAATGCTGCGGCATCGGAAACGAGCACTGAGGCGGTCACGCTGCTATGTTGATTTCTTGCTGTGAGTATTGCGGCATTGTCGCCTCTATAGTCGTATCGCACAATGGTTGTGTCGATCAAAACTATAGCATTGGGCTATTGTGACAAAATATCCTGGCGTATAACGCTGTCCTGGGCTATTGGCAGCATCAGGCGTACAAGCGCCATGCTTTGGGCCTGCTTCATTCGATATGGCACTCTGAGTGTTCTTGGCACGATCGGACTGATCGCTGCTGCTTGTGGTACAAGCCGCCTTTTAACAGTACCCAGTATCCTGCTTAACTGATACTGGAGGTCGTGCCGTTGCAGCCTCTTGTCGTTGCTGCCGTTCTTGTTCTGATCCATCTTCAGTCCTGCTGCTATCATCAGGGTTATTGCTGCCCTGGTCGTTGCTCCTGATCGTTACTACTCTGACCGTCTCCCTTGTGCGTAAGACAGCCAGGCTTCGCTGGAATTTCTTCACGACATCCTCCACATCTTCTTTTAAGCCAGCCATGCCTGCACCAGCGCGCATCCTCGGTGCCCCAGTAGTCGTCATGTCGACAGAAGCTGCCGCTGCTCCGGTTGGTGAGTTTCATTCAGGTGAAGCAATGGGGTTGGCATATCCCATTCCCCTAAACCCCCGCTGAGTAAGCCAATAAGGTAGCGATAGCCCACAGGTTTGGGTGCGATTTTGGCTCCTGGCAAAAGCGGAAACATGTTGCTTACCGGAGATAGCATCGCGTCGTGGCAGGCCTTCTTCTCGTCCTCGGTAGTGGCCGCTTCCATGCAGATCTGGAATCGCTCACCAACAACCTCGACGGCTGCGTCTTCTTTGGCTCGCTTCTCCTTGTTCTGCTTCCTCTCATCCGAGAGGCCGCGGAAGAGCTCGCCTGCACGGTTCAAGCAGAAGCACCAGCAAAACTAACCTGGAGATACTCCCTTCATGAGAGGAGCATGAAACAAGACGCGTGGTGGTTCTGCGTCAAGCTTGCCTGCAACCTCATCCGGCTCTGCCAGCTCACCCATGCAGCGGTCGAAGCCTGGGCGATGGCAGCTCATAGCACCGCTGAGCAGAAAAACTCCTTCATGATTTCATGCGTCTCCGAGCCTGTCTTGTCGGATTCCTCCATGCACGTTCTCATGGCATCTTTCTCGGACTCTTTCACAAGGTCTTGCTTGATGCGCTTCCTGTCCTGCAGCATCGCACCGCTTGTGAAGGGTCCCGAACTGTCTCTGCAAGGCTTCTTTCCTAACCCTCCGCATCACGAAGTGACGCCAAGTCACCACATCATCATCGATGGGCATCCTGCGATTGCTCGCGTAGACCTCTCGCAGACTAGAGAATGTCTCTGCAGGCAATGCAGACTTGTACTGTGTCAGTTTCATGCCGCGGCACGCTGCCTGCTGTCATGCAGCATGGCTTCGCTTGTGTTGTTCTGTATGGCCGAATTAAAACCGCTGTGCTACGGCCGAGGCCATGGCACCAGTCTGCAACATGCTGGTTTGCTGTAGCGTGATATGTTGTCTTGTGGTAGGACATACTCTACAGATTGGTTCCCAAAGAGGTCCGTCGTGGCGAGTATCTCTATGCAGTACTTGTGTTACCACACGGCAAGCAGGCGTCGCAGTCACTGCGTAACGACAGACAGACAGACAGACAGACAGACAGACAGACAGACAGACAGACGGACAGACAGACAGACAGACAGACAGACGGACTGACTGACTGACTGACTGACGGACTGACTGACTGACTGACTGACTGACAGACTGACAGAGAGACGGAGAGACAGACAGGCAGACAGGCAGGCAGGAAAGCAGACGCACAGACTTACGATGTGCAATACTGTAGTACATATTATTTATATATATATATATATACAAATGGAAAACACATACAGATATCTATGTGCGTATGTATATGTGAATATGTCACGTATACGTTTATATGAAAAAATGCGACGCTTCTGTACATGCTATGCAAAAGTGACACATTGTGGTAACTTGCACAGGATTATTGCAGATGTGCATGTTTGCAGGATTACTAGCTACAAGTAACTCCTGCTAACTCAAGGCGTTTAGACAGTCCCGGCCCAAAGTAGCAACTATCTCCATGTCTTGCTGGTACGGGACACCTACTGAGATCATCGAAATAACACAAGTCACGGATATCATCGGTTGAAGAAGAACCCGCTCAACAACCGTTCGAGACTCCCATGTAAACTAAACCCAATCAAACCCAAAACCATGAACCCGGGAACCCCATGCATCCCCTGCTTAAGTGACCTCTGTAGGATCGGCGCAGGTGGCTGTGTTGGACTCCTTCCGGGCTTCAGCACAGGCACCTAAGTGAAGGCAAGTGAAGGTCCCAAGCTTACGATCGACAGGCCATGTTTTAGGAGGTTTAGGGGTTTGGGGTTAAGGGTTTAGGGTTTAGGGATTCAAGTTTAGGACCTTTAGGGTTCATGCATTTACAGTCCACAGCCCCAAGCAAAGCCGGGGGAGACCCAAACCCCAAACCTCAAAGCCCCAAAGCCGGCCACTCATCGCGAGAGCCTTTCTTGAGCCGGGCCACGGGCGGCCTCTTTGGCGGCATCCCGAGCACCATCCATGACCAGCCTCTCCACCTCTGGCGTTTAGGGGCTTTCAGGGTGTTTAGAGCTTTCGGGCTTTAAGGCGTTGTTTAAAGGTTTAGGCCTTTATTATTGTTTTTGCTGCTGTTGGGGCGTTTGGAGCATTGGTGTTTGGTACGTGTACGTGAGCGTTTTTTGGTTTTGGGATTTAGGGCTGTTTAGGGGTGTTGGGGCTTGTAGTGCATTCAATTCTTCTTCAAGTGTTGTAAGTATCTTCGGGCTTTTTCAGGGCTTTCAGAAGACTACTGCTTTTTCGGTGGTCCAGCTTCAGGGTCCACCTTTTGTCTTGCCGCATAATGATTTAACCCTAAACCCTAAACCCTAAACCCTAAACCCTAAACCCTAAACCCTTACAGGGATCAGCTTGGGGCTGGGCCGGCGGAGGCTCGGTTTGCGCTCGGGGCTTAGGGAAGCTCGGCAACTACGGAAGCAGCAAAATGCGGGCTCTGATCCGAACGGTTTAGGGTTTAGGGTTTAGGGTTTAGGGTTTAGGGTTTAGGGTTTAGGGATGGTGTGTCCACTGGGGGGCACCGTAGATCTTCTCTGTCTTGATCGTCACCAGTCTGACGCATATCAGCAACACTGCCATTGCCAGCATGCGATATAACTGCACCAAAATATAAACGAACGATTTTCTATCTGCCAGTGACGATAAGGACGACCGCCACGAGGGCCATCACTGCAAACACGACGATGATGACGACGACGAGTTGTGAGTTCTCTCTGTAGACACCTCTATTCACTATCATTGCTTAACCCTAAACCCCGAACCCTGAACTCCTAAACCCTAAACCCTAAACCCTTAACCCTAAACCCTAAACCCGCCAGAACCAGCGGGAAACGCCTCCATGTCCGACAGGTCCTCCTTGCTGCGGCCCATTGACTTCGCAGCCTCGTCCCGAATGCGCTCCATGCCTCGGCTCTCCAGAACAAGACAGGAGCTCGCGGTCTGAGGTTTGAGGTTTGAGTTTAAGGTTTAGGGTTTGGGGTTTAGGGTTTAGGGTTTAGGGTTTAAGGTTTAGGGTTTGGGGTTTTGGGGCTTTGGGCTTGAGGTATAAGGTTTTAGGCTTTAGGGTCTGGGATTTTGGGGATGTTGGCGTTTGGGCTTGGGATGCTGGAGCTTGCAACTCAAAGAAGCGAGGCCTTGCACTTCCAGATGTGGGCTCCCATGATCGTTAACGGGTTTAGGGGTTTAGGGTTTAGGGTTTAGGGTTTAACGATTACGAGATTTACTCAAGGTTAGTGGAATTGGGGTCTGGAGTATCTTCGGTAAACCCAAGTTCTACCTGCGGCTTCACTGATGGCAGGGTGTCAGTATCTAGTCGAAAACGGCTTCATGCAGCCTTGCTGTTTGCAGGGTTTAGGGTTTAGGGTTTCATGAACCGCGACCCCTAGACGCCTAGACCACACACCCCAAGGATTGCAGCATCCGCATTGGATGCCAAACTACGAGAACCTAGCAAGGCAAGGAGCACTCCTCCCGGCTGCCCTGGCAGTCCTTGCTGACCTCCTTGGCCTGACACGTCTGGCTTAGGCCCAGGCCTCCAAGTTTGAGGCGAATCGGTTTTTGGATTTTCGGGCGGTAGTGAGGTCCCGGCATGGGTCAGAAAGTGCTCTTTTCCTCGGGCTGAGCCCCAAACCCGCGCTTAGGCCTCGCAACCCGAGATTATCTCCCGCCCGAGGGTTCAGGCCTTGTGCCGCTCAGCAATCGAATCTTAATCCCCAAAGCAGCGGTTTCAGTTGCAGGTTCAGGAGCTCCGCTTTCAAGCTTCTGTCGGCGTCAGAAACTCTCGCTTGATAGCCGGCGCGATGGCCTTGTCGCGGCCTGCTTCTTTCAGGGCCTCCTCCACGTCCGTGCGGGAAGGTGCTCCACCTCAGTCGCGGAACTGGGTCAGAGCCCGAAAACTTGTGTTTTAGGGTTTAGGGTTTTGGGTTTTGGCTTTGGGGTTTAGGGCTCTCCCCAAATGGTGCCGGAGACCCGGCTCTGGGATTCGGCCGGGCCCTGCCTCCCGCAAGCATACTAAAAGCGCATCATGCGCAACGCAGAGCATGCATTCTATACCTAGAGAACAGAGAGAACAAACCGTTGGCATAAACGTCGTCATAACGTTCGAGCATGTGCATAGCATTTGGAGTTGTGCCTGTTGATTTGGCGATCTGTTCCTTCCATCCTCCCTCCTTCCCTCGATCCTTCGATCATTCATTCCTGATTGTCTTCCGATGTGTAGAGCGTAGATGTGCCTTCGTCCGCAGGTCGCATGCCCATCGCGCAGTCACCCAAGATCCTGACTTCATTAAAACTCAGGGCCCGACCGCCTTGTGTACCGCGAGCCACGCCAAGGGCTTCAGTGGCAAGCGTGGTCCGGCAAGCTTCCTGAAAACTCGGGCAGGCGTGGAGCTACGACGGCCTAGGGCGAAGCTTTTGGCTGACCGTCAGTGCGCTCAGGCTTTTGCCTTGCAAGGAGGGCCCTGTCGATGCAGAGAACCTAGGCAAATAACCCTACAACCCCAAACTTCAACCACAACCCTGAAGCCTCAATGGCCCAAAACTCTGATCCAAACACTAAACTTCACTAAGACCCATGAACCCTGAAACCTGAGCTTTACAAGACAGAGACCTAAACCACAAACTCCCAACCCTAAGCCCCAATCCGAACCCTGCAAAGGGCCTTGGCTGTGTTGTCCTGGGCCTGGTCCATACAGGACCGCATCCTGGGTTTAGGGTTTAGGGTTTAGGGTTCTGTCGTGTTTGGAGCCTTTGACTTTGGATGTGTAAGAGTTTAGGCCTTACGGCACGGAGTTTCGGGGCTTGTGTCTTTTGAGGCTTGCTTTGGGTTTGGGGTGTCAGGGTCTGCCACTTTACGATTTAGAATCTAGGGCTTTTGATTTAGGTTTAGGCACTGATGTAACGCAATGCTGGTGCAGAAGGACCGGTGTGCCACACCACTCTCCGGACAAAGCAACCAGATAATCTCAAAATTCCACGTTGAACGGAACTCACGTGTTTTCCATGTTTCCTTCACATTTTAAGTTTTGATGTAATGCAACATGCAAGCTGCCTCCACACAACGACTGTCATGAGATTCAAAATCATTCCCTTGCACTGCACGGTTGCATCAAACTGGGTCCCTCGAATCACTGGGCCTCCGCTCGTAAGGAGAATGTTCTTGCGGTACAACCCTAGATTGCTACATGAAGATTGGCATGGCTCCTCTCGCCGAGCTCGCTGGCCATCTCGTCGTGCAGAAGCTGGAGCACACAGCACAAGAACAGCAAACACATCAACAGCAACAGCAGAGTTTGTAACACTGGTTGACATGTTGTGACATGTTGCAGTCATTGGCTGAGGAATGTGTGTGGGAGTTTGTGCTCTTCGTAACCCGAAACCCTAAACCCAATACCCTAATCCCCAACACTCTGTGGTTGGCAGGGCCTGGCGGATCATGTCGTCGGTAATGGCAGAAGAGGGGCGACCTGAGTGTCCAGGAGTTGGGGCTGGCCTTCGTGCTTTCAAGCCTCATGGGTTTGGGGTTTGAGGGTTTAGAAACCCTAAAACCCGAAACCCTTAAATCCCTAGACCCTAAACCCTAAACCCCTAAATCCCTAAATCCCTAAATCCCTAAACCCTTAAACCCTAAACCCTGAACCCTAAAGCCTACACCGTTATAGGGTTTAGGGTTGGGGCCTTGGCTTTCTCTAGCTCTCTACGCTGTCGGCTCATTGCAGCAGAGCCACCGGTGACCGCGGCCAGCATGTCTTTGGCTGCACTCATGCACTGCTCCTTGCTATGTTATATATACCTTTTTGGGTACTTTTGTATAGATAGATATATATCTATATATAACAGACATATGTGTGTATATGTATATATATATATATATATACTGCTAGGGGTTTCATGGAGGCTGGGGTGAACAAAATCAAATTGAGTCCGACCGGTCTCTGAAGCAACTCGAGAAGCGAGGTGGAGCAGTGCAAGAAATCCAATCTGTTTTGAAAACTTGCCGACAAAAACTCCGCATCATCAACCCCGAACCCTGAAAGCCCAAACCCTGAAACCCCTCAACCCTGAAGGCCCTAAAGTCTTCAAGCTCACAACCATCCTGTAGCAACCCCAAACCCCCTAAGCCCAGGAGCTACGCTAATTCAAAAAGGCAATCGCATAGAAACAACCTCGCGCCAGTCCCTTGAAAGCCTGTTGGTGAAGCCCCTAAACCCTAAACCCTAAACCCTAAACCCTAAACCGATACCCTCCAAGAACCGGCCCGGTCCTTCGAGTCCTCTGGGCAGGCCTCTAGCATGGTCCAGATTTCTTCTTTCAAACCTGGTAAGGCTTAGGTGTCTTCAAGGTGACGTTGGGTCATATTCGCATGAATCGAGGACAGCGAATCATTTAGCGATGATGCTTGTTGCTGTCATTACCCTTATTGGGCTCATCGTTCTTGCTACTGTTGCAGTTCTTGCCATTCACCGTGCTCAGATTGCCACTGTTGCAGGCAACAGGCCTTACTCCTGTTGTCATGACTACTATGGTGACTACGCTTACCGTGTGGACTGCAACCCAGATGTTGATGACAGTCCCGATTATCTCGACAGCTGCGATTGCTTGTGCTATGGTGCTTGTCTGGGAGTTACTGCCAGTCTTTCTGGTATGCTTCCGAGAGACTTGCACTGCCAGTAACACTGCGATCATTACTTGAACCACTATTGAGCCACCCGTTCTACTCTCGCGATCATGGTTGTTGGATCGATTGCTGCTTCTGTACCACTGTTGCCTCGGCAACTGCTATTTTGTATGGCCTGTACTACCGTCGCAATACGGCCAGGCATCTAGGTGCATGATCGTCTGGCTGAGGTTGTTCAAACTGTGGTCCTTTCCCGTACTCTTACTGGCAAAGAATATGCCAAGCTCACAACATGTGCCACAAAATCCCTGAACTCTAAACCCTGCCAGCCTGAAACCCGAAAACCCCAAAACCCCAAACCCCAAAACCCTGAAACCCCAAAAGCGCGAAGCCCTAAATCCACCGACCACCCACCCCAACCCTGGGCTGCGCCTTCCTCCAGGTATGCCCGGACGTCGGAGTCCTTGACCTCGCCTCGGCCCTTGCCTTCATGGCTCAGGGAGGCAAAACAAAGGGGCTCCAGGCTTCAGGGCGAATAGGATCCTAATTTTAAGCCACAAAAAGGAACTACTATGGGGCCTATAGGGTAGGGTGTAGGGTTGAAGGGTTAAGGGGTTAAGGGGTTAAGGGGTTCAGGGTTTTTTCACTCGGGATTTGTAGGGTTGAGTTAAGGGGTTTGTGGTTTTAGGGTCCAGGGTTGAGGATGCAGGGCGCAGGACGAAGTGAGCAATCTTACAGGTCTTGGGTGTTGGTTTGGGGCAAGTCTGTGAGGCAGTGTTACGGCGTGTTAGGCTCAGGGTCCCGGGTGGCGGGGATTAGCCTAGAGGATTTGCCATGAGAGTGTGGGGCGGAAGGGCAGGACTCAAAAACACCGATGATGTGAGAATGGCTTCTACAAAGGATCCTTTAACAAGGCCTTTACGAGGTAGTGAAGAACTGAGCTCTGTCTTGGTAGACGGTTCGGAGACGCAGAGGAGATGATCGCGACAACACCTTTAAAAGCCGGATGGCCTTCATGTACAGTGCGACAGGATGTAGAGATTGAGTTTATTTCCCTCACCGTTACCCCTGCAGAAGCAGCTACTAGGCCCTGAAATCTGAACCCCTAAACCTCGAACCCCAAACCCTGAAGCCTGAACTTGTAAGCCCTGCAACCCTCACCTAAACCAACTGAATCAGCCACGATGCCCATGGATTCGCCGATGGCATCCCGGATGTCATCCGAGGAGAAGCATGCTCTCTTCTGTCACAGGACGTAGGATTATTAGACTCTGTTTAAGGGCTTAGGGTCGTTTTGCTTTGCTGGCGGTTCAGGCGTGGGGTAAACACGCTGAAACCTAAGATTGCGACATCGTGACGATGAAGACGACTGTTGCTGCTGCTTCTCCTTCAATGTTCCTACTCTGCTTGTATTGCTGTTGGAACTCTTGAGAGTTCTGATTGAGGTCAAGATCCCTCTCTCTCTGCCTAGTTTCATCAAAGGAACCATGGCGCTCATGACGCCATATCTTGCTTTTTTTCTGAAGACTGTGCTAGCGCCGGCGACTTGAACCCCGGGCCTCAGTGTCAGATTCCGCTGCCTCCATGCACAGGCGGACTTCCTGAACAAGAAGCACCAGACGAAGGGAAGCAAGATGCTGCAAGGAACCAAGCTTCGGAAGATCTTTTCGGACCCAGTCCGCAGAAGCCCCAGACCCACGGCCGCGAGGTAGCATGCCACACACACACACACAAGGGGGTTTCCGAATATAGGGGGACCAAAAATAGTACCCCAAATAATCGGATCCTTATTCTACGGACCCCCCAAAGTAAGGTACCCCTATTTTCGGAAACTCCCACAACTGTTTGGGCTCTGTCATGAAGCATCTTGCAGAAGACCTCGTCGAGCCTCAGCCTGACTAACCGTTTCGTTCGCGCCATGACATCAAGTACCAATGTAAGGGAAAGTTCAAAACCCAAGGCCTGCACGTGGGACCGCGTTCAGAAGATCAGAACTGGACCCTGAAGCCTCACGGGCCCCTCAACCGTCCTCTGACACCTGTTCCGCACCTTGCGGTAAACCCTAAACCCTAAACCCTAAACCCTAAACCCTAAACCCTGAACCCTAAACCCTGAACCCTAAACCCTGAGTCTGATGGTCCTCTGACACCTGTTCCGCAGCTCCCTTTCGGAAGAGAAGCCGGAGCTCCTGGAGGCGAAGATGGTAGGCTGCTTTCATGAGTGGGAGCTAGGATTAAGGGGACCCTTATTGGGATATAGACCCTCTCGATAAGGTCCCTTTGAAGAGATGTCAAAAGTACAGTAGGGTTCAGAAGGGGTACCCTTTAAGGGGTACCTCCCCTAAACCCTAAACCCTAAACCCTAAACCCTAATCTGGGGCTCGGGGTCAGGGAGGTTCCGCGCTCCTCTTCGGGGATCGACTCCAGGGTCCGACCCGTCAGGGTGGCCAGGGCTTGCATGGCTTCCGCGCTGGACAAGCAGGCCTCCTGGAGGGGAGGGCAGACTCCTTAAATCTTTTTTTTTCTTAAATCTTGAAGGTTTAGGGTTTAGAGATGTTTAGAGTTTAGGGCTATTTTTATCTTCGTTGTCAATGCTCTCAGCGAAGCCGTTCTTAGCCGGCGTTCGGGTCGACGGTTCAGTCCTTTGTCGATTGGGGGAGTTCGGCGCTCACCCGAGTTTGGAGGCTTGACACAAGCATGCATGGGGACGAGGAGGGTACTGTGCACGCCATGAGGAATCAAGCAGAGCTTCCAGAGCTTTCAGCTTTGAGGAAAAGGAGGAAGAGGCGGGACGCCTGATCTTGTCCGGCCTTCGCGGCATCGGTTGTGGCAGCAGCCGAGCAGGTGCTAACAATGTGCTTTGCCTGCAGGGATTGAGACATGGAGATGGGCGAAAACCAGAACTGCAACTGAGAAGACTGCTCGGCGCTTGCACCTTCTCCCCTGCGATCTTCCTGATCTCGCGCTCCACCTCCTCGTCTGTCAGCGTTTCCTGGGACGCGGGAAGTCTGGAATTCGAGTTTAGGGTTTTGTAGCCGTTCAAACGGTCTCCGTCGCGTATCGGCCTTGATTTCTCCATTGGGCATGTCATTGCTGATCCTGAAAAAGAACTAGGCACGTTTCCCCTTATTCACACGAGGCAGCTCCTCCAAAAAATGGTCCCTTGTTGGCCCTTCTAATGCTCGATGTCCGTTCTAATAACTGGTCCCCTACAGGAAGTCTCACGCAAAGCAAAGCCCCACATGGTGTTGCTCGAGCGAGTTTCATTTTTGAGCGTCTGCAGCACGGTCTTCAGCTGCTCCTTGCACTCGTCGAAGCTGCCATTCGAGGCCGCAATGTCCCTGGTGCAGTTTTCCAGCGTCCCCAAGAGAGCCTTGGGGGCACCCTTCTCAAGCTCGAAACGTTCCTTGACCTTGTCCGGAGGGGTGCCACCGGTGGAGTTGCCGAAGCCCTTGGTCACAGAGCTCGTAAACACGCGACATCGCCATCATCCATCTAAACGACGGCAGTAGTGAACAGAAGCCGTGGCAGTGGCAGTGGCAGATCTAGTAGTAGTAGTAGTAGTAG